AATAAAAATAAAATAATTTAAAAATAAAAGATATAAAATAATTATTAACTTTATTAAAATTGAGAATATACAATTTGTATATTAAATGATCTAATTAAATAAGCAAAATAAAAAAGATATAATTTATTTATAATAATTCAATCATTATTCTTTTAGTCTGATGTTGCGACATTATCTGTATTTTTAATTAATTTATATTTCTACATTTTAGAATATAAAAAAACTCTTGTACTTACTGTATATATTGCTTGATCTGGATTAGGAAACATGGATGAATGAACCACTCGCCAACTTCTATCTGTAGCACCATCGAAGATAAGAATTCCTGAAAAAATATTAAAATTTTTATAAATTCTCTTTAAGAACTTCTAAAAAAAATTTTATATGTAATCTTTTACATAACACAATGAACAAAGAATTTCAATCTTTTACGTTAAAATTTATTAACGATTTTAATAATTCTAAAAAATATATAATAACTTTAAGGAATTAAATTTTAAACATATCACTCATTCTTCGGATCTATTTAAATAATATATTTTTTCATTTTTGAACTTAAAAGAATTTAACTTTTCTAACTTATATTGAGCGCGTTTATAAATCGATAAAGCTAGATGTGCTCGCCGAGCAATTAAACATGATTGGTTAGATCCACAGGTAATAACAGAATTGATAAGAACCAATCATGCTCATTCGCTTGGCAAGCATGCCTAGTCACTTTGTCAGCTTGAACTCGCCCACTCTCTTGAACTATACGTTGATAATAAAATTCAAAGTAAAATATTAGGTTGGTTAAAAAGTAATTACATTTTTTGCGATTACTAACGTATTCAAATTGTTTTAAATGATTTTTTCAACACTCGATTTCGTCTTAAGATTTTCATCAATCTTTTTGTGTCATTAAACACCGATTGGATTCGATCAATACCTTATTTTATCGTCATCAACTTCAATTGGACTTCCTGAGCGTGGTGCATCTTTAACATCAAAATCGCTAAATCGAAATTTAGCAAATCAATTCTGACATTGCCATAATTTTATGACATTTTCACTATACACATATAACTTTTTATACTTCTTATGCAGCATTCCTTGTTTTTTAGAAATAATACAGCAAAATATTCTTTTCAACTTTCCATTTTGAAATCGACGCCGAAACAATTGTTAACGAAATCATGTACTTTCTTTTTATAAAACAAGCTGTCAGCTGTGAAGTTACATAATAAATTTGCAGTTTTTCTTAAGGGAATCAATAAAAAATTATTATTAAATTTAAAATATATCACAAAATAATCTTAAAGTATTTTTAATTAATAACTCAACTAGAAATTGAAATATACCTGGACCGAGAGTGTCAGTCATGTAGAGAAATACGTCATCACAGGTTTTCGCCGAGACTTCGTCGACAACAACATTAGTCAGCAAAGAATCTGGTCTTAACACCTAAGAAAAATATAACAATGCTTGCTTAGAACAATTACTTTTACGTAATCCTATGCAAAAATGTCTGAAATACGATTTGTTTGTCAGGCTAGGCATCAGTGAATGATCATTGTTTCTGTGATGCTTATTTTTATCATCACATAAATTCTATCTTGCTACATAATGACATAAAATTGCATACAAAACCGGTTTTTGATTATTCTACAGTTGTAAATTAAATCGATTCTACTGAGAGATCACTTATAAACGATTTCTTCATTTAACATTCTCCTTTCATTTTTATTAATATATGTTTAATTTATAATATATGTTTAATTAATACATTTTTACATAGAAGGCAAAAACAATGTATTAGTGGTACAATGTATGTATTTTAATATCAATTAATGGAATAAATAACGTTTTCATTAAAAAAAATATTTTTTTTTAAGAGATAAACTTAATATTTTATAGTTTTATGAATGTTAATTATATAAATAAAAATTATATAAAATAATTATATAATGTTATAAATCCTTTCGTTTACGTCCGTAGATATATTTTTTTCAAAATTAATTTTACATTTCTATTTATTTGATTTTCGATGCAGATCACTTACGAGCTGGATCCTTCACTGATGCTATCCATTCTATTTATTTTATCGCAAAAGCATGTCGCTTTGCTCACCTCACGCGGAAAAGTGACGTGACGAATCACTTGATCAGTTTTTAAGTCGAAAACCACAACCTTCGGCGGGCAGACAGGCATGAAATCATCAATTGATGTCATAACACCGGCGTCAACGACCCATAGTCGGTCACATCTGTCCAGTCTGGTACGATATACCGAGATCAACCTAGTACAATTGATTTCTCCTCTTCCGGCACCATGCCAGTCCCACGAGGGATATGCTTGAAGCTTCGGATTGCTACCCAATGGTACGTTCCTAGGAAAGAAGCTCAGGGTGGCCGGCACACCAGAACGTAATCTAGGTGTGCTAACGAAAATTTTGTTCCAGGTTATCTCGATACCGGTCATTACTATATTTTCCGGTTGATATTGAAAATCGTTCGGTAGTGCAAACTCTAGCAACGACCATTGTGCCATAGTTTCTAGTGTTCCTGCCCTCATTCTGACATACAATAGCGACAGGATCGTCACGAAGGTCGTGTGCCTGAAAAAAATTAAGAAACCGAAACACACTTAATTAATTTAAATGAACAGTTATTTTTAAAATAGTTATATCAAAACATTGCACAAAAAGATATATGCCTTATTCCCGTTTCTATCAATATATAGATTAATTTTAATCTCAGTTCAATTAATTTTTTATCTTTTTTTAATTAATAGAATTAAAAAAGATGAAGTGTTAATGTAGTTGAACCGAGATTAAACCGAAATTAGTCTACATTGGTAGAAACAGACGTTAGTTATAATTCAATATCTTTTTTCTGAAGAAAATTGATATTATCAAATTGTCCTTTGAAATTCTTTTAACAAGCAAGAGGTACAAAGTTTCGGCGTGCTAAATTTATTTGTAAGAATAAGTATAATATGAAAATAAACACAAGACTTTGATCATTCTGCCTGTATACAGAATTAAATTATTTTGTTTACTGTTTTCGTTACTCACCTCATGTTGCAAGGCTAAAAGCTAAAATACGATAGAATAGAAATAAAAGCTTCAACCGCACTGCTTCATGCACGAGAGATGAAGTGACAATATAATCGGATCAGATACAGCCACGACGCGGTACCAGCATCAACTGTCTCGGGAAATATGCACGGGTGTGTACCACAAGTTCTACCGACCGAATACCAACTGAACTAATTTTCTAACATCGACTTGTTAGAACTTGTTGGGTCCTTAAGAGACAGGACAACACAACTTGAATGCATTGTATAACGTGAGACGTATACTTTTACTCGTACGCACAATCATATAGTCTATCGAGGAGCAACGCCTACACCGATTAAGACTTCCCATTCCAGGACTTCGAAGTTTGAAGCAAATCGTCAGTTCGTGCAAATCTCTTCTTACAAGGCAGTGAAGAAAGTGGTTTGTGATTGACTTGCTCCTCGACACATCCTCTCGTATTTCCCTAATTTCCGTAAATCAAAAGTTAATGCTTTCATTGATACCATAGAAATTTGAAAATTTTTCGTAAATTCGATGCGATAAGCTTGATAAAGATTTCATCGGATCCGATAATAGCTTCATGATTATAAGACATAATTTCACGTGTTACTTTTAACTCCAAAGATATATTGGTTCTAATTATAATTTGCTACGTGCTAAAAATTAAAATGTTAAACATGTTGACAGATAAGAAGTTTAGAATTTTTCACATTTCACTAAAAAAGAGCTGTACACTTCTAACATAGTGCATACACGAAGGAGCTTCACTCGCTTGTGACGGAACATGCGATATAAAGTATCGATGATCGGCTTTACCACTAGTAAGTCTCTGTGTGATATTACGAAACATTAAAAAAAATGGTGTACAAAATTGCACTTGATCATGCTATGGAATTATAACGGTTATGTAGATGTCCTTGGTTGGTCTCGATCGAAAGTGCCCGGAACTAAAGCCGCGCCCATTATAACAGATATAATTTACGTTTCGGATATATGTATATCTGCGACAAGGGAGCAAAAGACAAATGATCTTGATTGTGACCATTGTTCGTAATTTTTTCACCCTGATTTATTTATGTCGTTCTCTTCGCGACGAGAATGTGCATATTTAAAGTGGCTTGAATTTACAAGCGAAATTTTTGAAACTTTTTGGTGATAACATATAGAAATGATCAAATCGTAAAATCGATTGGAGAATGCATTTCACTAGGAATTTCTCTTCTCTCCGTGGCAAGCATTTCATATATTTTTTTAAAAATCGAGATTATATACGAAATTCATCTTTTTACAAACCGCAATATGTTTTTTCACTTTTTTTTTTAGTGAGTTTCGCAAGTTTCTGTATACAGCGTATACTGATATCCGGATATCAAGCTTCATATCTTGCCAATAAATCACTTTCTCTCTGTTAACAGAGAACTCTTGAGCATGCATACCTGCCTTGCCTATTCTTTGTACTCTTAAGTCTTTCGTATATCTCAAATACTTAAGACTCAAACTACCGTATATATTTCATGAGAATAGATTTATAATCTCTCAGAATATCTAATATCCGAGGTACGAATTCTTCCGCAATATGCTAAAAAGGTTTCTCAAAATTGCAATATTGCAAGATATTCGCAGTTCTATAGATAATATAGAATTCTCTTAAAATACTATATAGTTTATATAGTATTTATTTATATATTTTATTTATATAAGTATTACAAAAATTCTTTATTTTTAACATAAGCTTCTTTCGATAAAATAATTTTAAGATTAAGGATGCGCTGATATTCTTCTTTTTTTCTTTTCTCCTTTTTACTTCAACTTGAATTTATTACAGTATTATGACTGATAAAAAAATTGATTAAACGTGATCTTTTTGCAACAAAGCTCGTAATTGTTAACAATCGTAACTGGATATTATTCAACGCTGTATCGAAAGGCTGGGAATTAAAACGAGGTGGACGGAATGATACGGTAGTGTTCGATTACCGAGTATAAAGTTTGCAATGTGTCTCGTTAGAAACCGAGTATTTCGTTGTTGCTCAATACTTCGCATGGAACACTATGGGAAATACCATAGGAACGATCACGATTGCCCACCGTTCCCACGACGAAACGGAAACAGCTCGTTATTGATCCGCAATGTCAGCTTGAACAAGCAAATTCTTATCGTGGGGATAAGAACCAGTAAAATATTTTTTAAAGACCATTTACGAGTAGTTGTTGACAGGTATAACGTCGCACCACATGCCCATAAATTATATAATTATATAACGCAAAACGGAAATGACAAGCGAAAGGAAATTTGTCCTAATAGCATAATTTAATTTCGGACAAATCTGATTTGAAATATTTATAATTTTATTTTAATTTCACGATTCTATTAAAATTTTGATTATATAAATGATTGTACAGGTAATGACAATAAAATTATATATATATCAATTGTATATATCGAATATGTAATCATTCCGAATTTATCTGCGAGTCTTAATCTTTTATTTAATAAAAATATAAAAAATCAGATAAGAATTTAAAATTAATAAAATTTTTTTCACCGATTCAAATTTCCCACATCAATATCGAGACATCTAATTTTAAATAACACATTTCATATTACTGTAGTAGACTGACACGTATTTGTAAGAAATGTTAACATGATTATATTTAACTAGATGCCATCAATATATATAATTACAGTTTGCGGGAACGTATGATTAGAATGTATTTACGACCAAGATTTTAACTTTTTTACCGATCGTAATAAAATTAATTGCATGTACTTGGTTCTTTGAATGCGAACTTGCATCTAAGGAATAAATAGTTCGAGAAACGCTACGTGAACAGTTCTCCTCCTTTCATTCTGTAATAGCATTTACGATATTTTTTTCATCGTTTAAAGCTCAAGGAGCGTTTGCGCCATCAGCTGATCAGCAATTAATTGAAAATCTAATTTCAACTATCTCAAGAATTGACACACTTTCTGTGTAACATCGTTTGAATTGACACTTTCGTGTAATATCGTTTACATAATTAATATGCTATAATATGTTCATTAATGATTAATTACGATTCATACTGGTCAAATTATAAACAGTTTATAATAAAATTCAGTTTGACGGAATTATAATTCTTTCGAAATAAATTACGATGGAGGCGTGGAAACTTCAAGAGTATTATCAAATTACGATAGAGTTGTAGTTCAGTCAAAGGATTATCAAAGCAAAGATCAGATGACACACAATTAAAAAATTTAAAAAATCACCTAATTCGTAATCGGATACAGTTGGAGTTTTATAGCAGCGTATCGTGTAAAATCAAGAAGAAAATCTGATCTGAGTATCAAGTTTCATTGAAAGTTCTGATATATCACATAGCTTCTGATGCTGTAGGCAAAAAAGGAAAAAAGAAACGGAAGTTATAAAAAAATATTCATTCGTCATTCGATGTAAAAAAAAATATTGGTAAATTCGATACAGGAATTCGAAAGGAAAACAGATGCGTTAAGAATCAAATATACTCTTCCTTTGTGTAAACTATTAATTTATACCGAGCACGTGCGTTACTCACAAAGGAAAACTAAAAGTGGAGAATAGGTAGAAGAGGAATTAATTGTAAATTGCATATAAGTGCAGAACGCGATGTGATTAACTTTTTCACGCGTAGTGCACAATTCGTCGGCGTTTCTTTTTTTCTCCTTTCAAGCAAATGAAACTTGTTGCATGTAAGCCAGAGGCATACGATGCAATTTCTCGTGTTAAATCGCATGCGATCTAGTAAATGATTCTAGGAATTCTCTCTCTCTCTCTTTCTCTCTCTCTCTCTCTCTCTCTCTCTCTCTCTCTCTCTCTCTGTGCCCTGAAGTTGGGATTCCTATCCGTGTATTATCTATGTATCATTTTATCCTTGTTATTCATTGAATGTTAAACGAGAATAAAATGATACGTGAAGAGCACTTGGATGGAAATCTGAACATATATTGTATAATTATAATAATTTACTAAATCGCATGCAATTCAGCACAAAACATCATATCATATGCCTTTGGCTAAATTTTATAATTCTGATCTAGGAAGTGAAGATAAAGCGACCTTTAAAAAAAATATATAAAGTTCTAGATTAAAGTTAGAAAATATTCTCGACAAATTTGCAAAAAAATACTTGAATTATTTAATTAAAAGCGGTGGATCAATTTGCGTGAATCGCAATGCGTAATTAATCAGAGAGGATTAGTGCGCAAAAAATTAATTTAATATCGGATCAAAGACTTAAACTGAGAGTAAATTAGAAACGCACGTTGCGTAGGAGAGAAAATTAAAAAATGCTGAATTTTTATAATACGTTTATTTCTGCATCCGAAATGTCAGCAATTGACATTTTGCTTACTGTCGGAGTTTTCGCATCGTCAGTTGCAAAGAATGTATTGCAGCCAATATAATTTTTGTCGAATTTCGATGCTACAGACACACGTATATATATATATACACACACAGATAAACACATACACGTACACAAGAGTGATCTTTACGCTACACACTTATGGCAATGAAAGACGATTGGCGTAAGGTACATATTATTCCGCATCTATAACATGAAAAGGTAATCTCATTGAATTATAATGTTATTCGGTCTCCCAACTGGGCACGCCGGGGACCGAGAAACCTGTTGCTGTTATCAACCCGTTCTCCTATTCCTTCTCCTCAATCTTCTCTTCTTCACAATCTCGGCGAGAACATCTCGCTCTACATCAGAATCAAAGCATGATTGGCTCCGCAGCCGACGGTACCCTGCATGTAATCCGGGAAGTTGCTCTCAAGAACGCGCATCTGTCCTCTCCTGTAATCGGGTACGATGTGAGTAGGCAGGGAGCCTTCGTAGCTGTTCTCGTAGACGGGCTGGAAGTTGGCGGCTATGAAGGGCGTGATGCTGTCCCATCTGTAGACCTCGCCGTTGCCTACGTATCGGAAGAAGATAGCACTACCGTTGTCTGTGCCCAGAATGACTATCTTCTGCGGTTTCACTCCAAGATCTTGTATCCTGCCTTGGGCATTGCCACTTCGGAGATGATCCGTTCGGATGCTGAACACGCGGCTGCTACCCAAATACGTAAAGAGCAGGCAAGTACTACCGTCATTGTGACGCACCAGAGCGAGATAGAGCACGTCTCGGCGGTCGCAGTTCAGAGTCACCGCTTGAGGAAGTACGACGCGGTATCCACGACCAGAGGTCACGTCGTATACCAGGATCGCTCGCGAGGCTGCGTCGGACACATAGATGAAGACGCGGCCGTCTGGATTGTAGTCCGCCACAACGTACTGAAGTCGGGACGCGGAGTTCGTCAGCCCGGACAGATCGATTGTTTTCAGGACCTGAAAAAAAGGGATCCATTGCGTTCAATATTACATAATACATCGAAGAATCAATTTAATTTTTAAGAAGAAAGAAAATTTGAGAATTATAATATCCTAAATACCAATTAATAATATCAACTAATAATATTAACTAATAATATCAATGTAATTTTATACTCAACAATGTAATTATATAATATATGTTATATTACATTTATTATTATATACATATGTTGAGTGAAAATTAAAATCTTGATATTTTATGTTACTGTTGATGTTTATTGTTGGGTATTGTTTATTCTATTGTTAAAAATAATTTAAAATCGATTGATAAAATCGTGCTAGAAAATGCGTCATTCTCTTTGGTAAATTTAAGTAAATAATTTGCAATTATAATTGTATCACAATCATATGAGAAATAGTTTTTTAATCGAAAATTATGCGTGGCTTGTTTGATAGAGAAAACGATTAAAAAAAATTCTCTTGCACAATTTCTTGCGAAAAAAAGAAAAGTGATATAGATTAATAACATGAACGCGTACGGAAACGGTATGAGTAACAAAAAATTATATTACAAACGAATGAAATAATTTTTTTATTTCTTTATCAAAAAATAAATGGACGCTTTAAATAAATGCAAATAAACATTTAATATTATACATTTAAAGCATTTTTGTGCTTTTATAATAAAAAAAGTAGAAAAATTCTAAAAATATCTCTTTCACATAAAATCAAAATTTCTATAAGAAGAGAATAAGACGCGCCCTTTTACATTGCGAGTTTCAGAAATGAATTGTCTCACCTTGCCAGTTTTTACATTTAGGGCGACAACCTTCGGTGGGCATTTGCGCTCCGGTTGCTCAAGAGAGTTTATGACACCAGTGTCCAGTACCCACAGGACTTCCTGGGGATCCAAAAAGAGGTCTACGACATTTTGTAGAGCTGAGCATGTACCTTCTTCCTGGAGCGACCAACAAGGGAAGGCCCAGAGGGAGGCCTGACAATTCTTATCTTTCAAGGAGACTCTCGCTAAGGTCACTGGCACGCCAGGCTTATATCTGGAGAAACATTTCGAATAAATGTTAGTATGTTCTAAGACATTATTGACCTCTTAGTCTTATCTCATATTATTATCAGAAAATATTAAACATAAGATTCTTGCGGCAATCTCATATTTAAAAAAAAACATTCAAGTTCTTTTGATGTTCTGTTTAATCTTCTTTCTTAAAATTATATTATTTTATTAGTACGTACAAATTGTCACAAATAAAAATTTTTTATTTCACGAAATAAATATCTCAATTGCCAAGAGGAATTGCATGGATATTTTACACTTTACAGTTGATTTGTTATATTTGATACATAAAAAATAAATTGATAAAAATAAATTGATATGCCTTAAATTTGTTTATTAATCAGCAGTAATTATACAAATAACACTACTTACTGATATTGATCATTAACCCGCTAATATCGCGTGTTAACCCTGTAAAATCGCTGACAATCAGTAAGATTAATGATCGTGCACGCATAATGGAAAGGAAGTATAATGAAGATATTGCGATTAAACGCTTTTATCGTTGAGCGAAGCGCATTTCATTGTGTTTATAGCAGTAAATACCAAACGCCCTTCGTGAAATGAGGCAGATACAATCGCCGATCAATAATGTCGCAACATTATTACACACATGTGAACATTCTCATTACACGATTTATAATCATGACAAGGTCTGCAACCGTGTGTCTTTCGATTACCATATCAGAAAAAAAACCCCATTATTTTCTGACGGGTAATCCCCCGTAGATATCTCGGTAAGATGATTTTATTTTTCCGCGTTGGAACTGCGATTACGATCGCGTCTTGCAATCTCAGTTCACTTCCAGCTCATGCCTCGTTAATTTCTGCTAAGATTGATACTGCAATGTATCGATCGCTACTGACGTAACGTGCGATTTGCAAATAGCGTTCTTTTCTTCTGCGATTTCTCTCCTTTTAAATGATCGGTAAACTTGCCAAAGAATGCGATTGCCCTTTTACCCTGGTTTTTGTTGCAATTGGAGAGGATCGATCTTGTTTACGAATTGAAAGTACAAATGAAATCGGATACTTCTTTCTACAAACTTTTTCATAAAGGAAAATTTAACCTTGCGATAATTTATACAAATAATACGACATGTTACTTTTTTGTAAGACTCTTTTTTCAATTTTTCCCTTTATTAAATACGTTTATATATAAAATAAAATTTGAATAGCGCAAGAAATATTTCTTCCATGTTTTTTAAAAAGCTATATTTCATTAGAAAACATCAATATTAATCTGCAAGATTATAAATCGTTGTGAAAATAAATTTTTTGCTAATAAAGATAACGTTTACAACCTTTTTTTTTTTTTTCAAAGAACGACTCAATAAAACTTCAGACAGATTTTGACGTATATAGAAATCTGAATAGAATAGTGCATTACTGTGATATAATTTATATTATACATATATTGCAATATAAAAAATGTATTTCTATTCCCTAATGTTCTTTAAGATAATCTCCTTGTATTTTTTTAATAAAAGATTAATAAAAAACATATAAAAGTATTCAAAATGTGCAAAAAAATATTAAATGTTTTATTGCAGATTATTGTAACTACATTATAAATTGTATATCTCATACCTAGGTAAAGCAAGGATGGCATCATCCTTGTAGATCGCAACCCTGGTGGCGAGGATGTTCTTCGAGATGTAACGACCATTATTCTTGAATATGCTCTTCGTGGCCACGCAAGGCCATTCGAAGGTACCACCGGTCCACAGAATGTTCTTGTCGCATTTTTTTTCGATAATAGGCTCGTCAGCACCAACGACAGCGACGACGGCGACGACGAACGTCACCGCTCGTGCGAAAAGCATCCTTATTTTTTGTGAATTTCCCCCTTCGAATATCCGACCGTCTCGACCGCGTCTCTTTTGCTGATCGAATCAAATCGTAAACTGTAAAACCCTCTGGATTACGCCAATTTTATAATCCTGTCACATCGGGACGAGATATTACGTAACATCTTTGTTTAAAAAATATTTAGTCGCGCAGCGAGTCGAAATGAACACGTTCATTAAAGCAGTTCCGCACAAATTGCTATTTAATGTTGATCAAAAATACCAAATGCTTATTCTATAAATATGTACAACGAATTTATTATAAATAAAAGGTTATTATTATTATAAATAATAAGTTGATTAAGATTGTGCAATGAGTTAATTAACAATTATTTCTTTTAATGCTTAATTACTTCGGAACACTAGAATATGCTCTTTCTTCGTTAAGTGAAAATAATAAAAATAAAAAAATTTAAATAATGTCAAAGAGGAATTTCACATTATAAATGTTATAATTCTAAAAATACAAACAAAAAGAAAATACTGAGAAAATTAATTCACTAATTTACTAATTCATTTATTTACAAATATAAAAGAATATAAAAGATATGAAAAATTTCAAGTCACATTTCTTTATACTTTTAATTCGAAAATAATAGTACAAGTAACATATAGAATAATTTTATTTAAATAAATGAAATAAAAATAAAATAAATAATATATGTAAAAAGTTTAATTATAACAGAGTACAAGTACGAAATATAATTCTATTTATATTAATTCCTAAATTACAAAATATAATTACAAAAAGTTACAAAATTTAAAAGTTACAAAGTTTAAAAATAGATAAGAATAAAGAAAACAATAAATTAAACAATTATATTAGATAATTGTATAATTAACGTTTCTTTAGGAGCGGAAGTGTAATAAATTATTAATAAAACAAAGAGATAATTTCCTTGTGCATTGTATTTCCTGATTTATTACATTTAATGTATGCTGCTTTTTGTGTCTTCCTGAAATTGTCGTTATTTATAAATAAATTAAAAAATGCATATCATGAAATATTTCCTCTTTACGAATTCATCAAACTTGAGCAAGAAAATCGTTGCAAAATATTGGGTAGAAGGAAACAGTAGTATACGGTAAAAATGTAAACGATTTCAGTTGATTCACAACGTATATATAAGTATAAAGCTGTATAAATGATTCACATATTCAAAAATTTTCGCCCTCATTGTACGAGAAACCTTGTAAGTTTTCACATCTTTTTCACCGCATTAACAACTATTTTATATTGTTACTTCGCTTAGAGAGCTATTGATCTAACTTTGTCTATTTTTTCAGTACTTATCTTTTTATAATATTACATATAT